GCTCTGTCCCACCGGGGGAGAGACGATAATGCACTTCTGAAATATGACACCCTTCCCTGGCACCACACTCCTGCTATGTACATCCCGCTATGTATTACAGCACGCCATATCTATTTCTGACTCCCACGGTTTGTGTTCAGGTGCACAGATGCTGCCCTTTCCTATGATACATGGTCTGAATGACACCAGTGTATTGGATTTCTGCTCCTGTTGAGCAAAAACACAAGTTCATTAAAAAAGGTGGCATAGTGGGACATGCATGGTATTGATGAATGACATCAAGATTCAAGCTGCTGTGTCAACAATATCACCTGTACGGTATATTTCATGCTTAACCCCATTACATGTGACCCCCTTTGGCATGCTGTTTAAATAAGCTCTGTGTAAAATGGTTAGCAACACGGGCCTGTGGCCGTAAAATTCAGCTGTCCCATTGATTATGGGGTAATACATGGATAGATTAATGTGTTTCTCAGGGGGTTCATGCCTCAACAATTAATCTGAATCACTCACAAAGACACAGCCTGTGAAACAGTCTCCATATCCAATAACCTGCATTTCTATCCTCATATTTCACACGCCAATTACTGGTTAGTCCTTTACCAAGCTTCTTCGTGTCGTCCTCTGCAGTCTTATGTGGACCTCCTCTGACATGGCGTCTCACTCAGTTAAGCTGGATCAATTTGGAAATGTAATTTTTGGGAAAGCTATAATGAAATTTAACTGTCAGGTGGTACAGAAGAAACCGATTGGAACCAATCTGGAGTCAAAATGAGAGAGTTTAGGTGAACAAGATTGTGTGTGTGTGTGTGTGTGTGTGTGTGTGCGCGCGTTGGGGGGTGGGGGGTTGCACCATCATAATATATTGCAGAGGTAGTCAAACGCTGTGATGGAACAGTGCTTTCAGAGCTCACACACTCAATATCCCCAGCCGCCGATAATGCGCAACACTACATCACTGCCATTAAATATTCAGAAGCTCAATACTACCAGGTGAACTTGTGCACCTGCGCTCAACCAAGCACACAAAGGAAATATCATACTTCTGTTGAAGATGATTCCACTGATATATATTATGGACACAATTCAGCCACTCTCCTCAAACCAGCTGTCTGAGTTTTAAAATCATATATTTTATCTATGCACGAGCTCTGGTCTCAACTTGAAGAGGAGAACATGCCAACTCAGTCAGCTGAGCAGTTCAGCTGCTGAAACTGAAGTAATATATAGGAGGAGGTGCAACATGTAGTATTAATGAGACCTTTTCAGCTGCTGCCATTACAAAATCTTTAAGTGACCTCAAGCCAACAAGAAAAGGCAATTTCCCAAAACATGTTGAATGTAGTCAACTGTGTCATTTAAATGGGTGAATAAGGGAAGTGAAATTCAAAGCAGTTAAGGTGACTACATGGAAGGGGAGAGAATGAGTTTTGGTAATACAGCAGTTTTCACTGTCCATGGTGCTGATACTTCTCTGTTGTCTCTCCAGCTGCAAAAAACACTGGGGAATAGTTGCCTAAGCAGGGTCATACTGCAGAGAAACATCTCTTTAAATGTGATGTGGGCTATGGGCTCCTTTTTCCCCCTTAGGAAACTTTGCTTCTGAGCAGTATAAGCATCAACTTACTGCCTTCCAAAAAAAGATCAGAAAGTGAATTACATCATTGCTGACATGTTCCCTCACCAACAGAGAAGATACCATCATCCATGAGCAATATTTATCCAGAGAAGTATATACAATTCAGTTTACAGCAAAGACATAGTCTAATAGACTGTAATCGCCCTCTCTTCTGAATGCCTCTTACCAGGTTATTAATGCACAGAGCAAGGTGTTTCCTCTCCCGAGCCCCAACCACACTCCCGCTGCGCAGCCTCGCCTCCTCTCCCTGGTACATGCTTCTGGAAGGACACCGCTCAAAGTTAAAACACAAAAACTCTCCAAATATGATATATGCTGTAAACCCTCAATATTTGACCAGTCTGTTCTCGTCTCTGTCCAGCCGCAGAGAGTGCCGTTATGCAGGATTTTATCACTCACCAGTGCATGTCGAAGCAGCCTGTACTGAAGCTTCTCATTTAAATCCTAAATAAACATACATGAATGATGAGTCGGTGGATGTGACACTAACCTGTATGTGCCGTTCCTCAGCATGACGAGCTATCTCTTTCTCCGCAGTCAGACAGAGATGAAGTGAACACTTTGAGTCGGAGCAGCCAGAGAGAGACCAGACTTGGAAAATGCTCGCAGCCAATGGGACACTGAGCGTGTGTGCCTTTTTATACAGCGTCCAACGCCCGCGTGTTGACGGTGTCGTTTAACTTGGCAATCGGCTTTAATCACAGCATTAATTATTCTGCACGCCTTCTCTCTGGGGGGGGGGGGGGGGGGGTCGCATACTCTACAGTATCTCAGCCTATTATGCCAGGCTTTTGAAATGCCTCACTGTGTGCCAATCTATTTGTTCATATCCTAGATATGGCGTTAAATGGTTTACATAACAGAGGTGTGGGCTGGGAACAGGAGGGACGCGCAAGTTGAACAAACACCTGCATTTGGTATTTTTCTGACAACGGACACGTCATCCTTTCAAAGTAGCTGGGGTGAGCTGCAGGCAGGTGAGGTGTCAGGAGAACAGGTCCATTTATTAGGCCTAATTAGGACAAGGTTAAGTGACTGGGCCTCCACATTTTTTTTCAAACCACCTGAGCCGGTGAATGGAGGCCTTCCATATCTGCCCAGTGACTAACTACTACGAAAGGATCCTTCTACCAGTGTCTTACAGCCTTGTGTTTCTGCTGGGCTTGGGTTTGAACTGTGCCCTGCTGTGGCGTGTGTGCTGTCGGACGCGCCGCTGGAGCTGCACAGAGATCTACATGACCAACCTCGCCGTGGCGGATCTCCTCTACGTGCTGGCCTTGCCCCCTCTCATCATCAGCAATTCCATGAGCGGCCTGTGGCCTTTCGGCAACATCATCTGCAAAACAGTCAGATTTTTCTTTTTTGTCAACCTCCACTGTAGCATGATGTTTCTTACCTGCGTCAGCGTGCACCGTTTCCTTGGGGTGTGCTTCCCTATCGTCGCTGTGCGCCTCAGGACTAAAAAACTTGCCCTCTTTGCGTCGGGCTCTGTTTGGATCCTGGCCACCGCTGAGATATTACCGACACTGGTCTTTGCGCACACGGGTGTGATTAACAACATGACTGTGTGCTTTGAAATGACAAACCCTGGACAATTTAAGGTTTACTTCCCCTATGGGCTGTTTTTAGCTATAGTGGGTTTTCTGATACCATTCATGGTCGTTATCACCTGCTACTTCTCCATTATGAAGGTGCTTTATTGTAGGGCCGCGGACAGCATCTCTAATGCCAGGATAGCTCGTATGCGCAACAAGTCCCTGTACACCCTCTTAATTGTGTTCCTCATGTTTGTGGTATGTTTTGTGCCATATCACATTATTCGGACAGTCTACTTGTTTGTGAGGGTCTACATGCCCGGAGACTGTCGTCTTCTGAACGTGGTCATGATCTCCTTCAATGTCTGTAAGCCCCTGGCCAGTTTTAACTGCTGCGCAAACCCTCTCCTCTACTTTTTGGGCACTGATCGTCACCGTCAGAAGCTGCGGGCCTGTTGGTGGAGGAGGAAGAAGAGAGTGCAACCCAGCGTGTGTCTGGTGGATGTAGGCAGCATAAACAGGAGCGCAGGGTAGAAAGCGTCCATCAGAGGTCTCATGATGGGTGGCTTTCATCATGAGTCAGTGGGCAGTTATAACACCAACAACCAACATTGTTTTTGATAACTCGTTTTATTATTTTAAATTAAAGAATATGTATTTGCTTACATTCAACAAGTCACTGACTTGCGATGAGTACTTTGTACACTGATTTATTCTAACTAACAACCTATAACACCTGAAGGAAAAAGAAAATGAAGGAAGTAACTCATACTGCAAATGCTGAGCCTGCTAAAGGCTATTATAAAGGTTATTAAAAAGCAATGATACTGTGGCCAGGGGTGACATTAAACATTTGAGGGAATTGGTGCCCTCTGTTGTTTGCAAAGGGTTGAGTCTCTAAAACAGCATCAAGGCACCATAAAGCATCAGCCCAATTTGATATGATACAGTCTCCCAGAAAAGAAAATACTTCTGTTGTGTTCTTTTCTATAAAAAGACACAACACCTCAAGTGTGACACAAATAGAAAATAACTTAAGATCCAAAAATAATCCCTGTGGTGATAATAATTAGTCAATGAACAGATACCCTTTCTAAATACCTGGAACAACTGTCATGTGAAGGTTAAAAATACCTTGAAGGTAAAAAGTGCTACAACATTTTGTTCAAAAAAAAAAAAAGGGGACACTGTTGTGCATACTTGTCTGGAGCCACAGACCTAAAGTGTTGGGAGGAGCAGACAGCTGAATGAACGGCATCATTTCAGAACACTCCTGTGGGCAAGTGATGACAGATGGGTACTGCAGTGGTCTGGGAGCTGAGAGCAGAGAGGAAAAGAAAGATTAAGTGAAGACCACAGTTGAAGTGAAAGTTACTTTAATTATAGTGTAGCAGTAAAATCAACCCCTCTGTCCTTCTTTTGAAGAAAAAAAAAAAATAAAAAAAAAGGATATCCCAGTGTCAAGATTACAGGCTCAAAGAATTCATAAATAGATTTCTGTTTGGCTTATGTCTAATTGTTAAGTGGTATGTGTGCATGTGTGCGTGCATGCATTTATGCATGCATTTATGCATGCATACCTGCGCGCCCAGCCTGGAGAGGTACCAGTTGCGCAAGTCAAAAGAAGACATGGGTGCTATAGTACACTCACCCTCTGTCAGCTTACAGGGTTGCCTTTTAATCCTGCAGGGATAATAACGTAGCCATCTTTATCAATTCTACAGCCAACACTAACATGAGCACTGGCACAGCTATATTAATGTTACCAACAGGATTAATCGCCCACAGTCTGTTGCTAAACCCTGCAGAAGAAAAAAAAGCTTGAATGCTTTCAAAAAATGTGTTTAATTGTCATTATTCCATGAACAATCTGGTATTAAATGTGAAGTGATTTTCCTTCCAATTTCGTCATCTTTGATTGTACAATGGCTCTTCTGTAATTTCTCTATGGTATAAGTTTTTGTACACAGCTCAACAGTCAACACATGGTAGTTTAACACAAATATTCTCAGTTAGGCAAAGACTACGTATGACACTGTGGTCATTGTAATGTGCAATCACAACATTGTAACTTCAATGCTACTGACCGTCTTCTTACATGTTGGGCCTTTTCCTTGAAGAGTAACTTAACGCCAGACTGAATAGCAGACCACACGCAGCATCACTGATAGGTGTGGTCAGAAGTGTGCTCTTATGCATCACTACAAATGATGTCACAGTGTACTGACACACCATAGAGTACATTTGCGCATCACTGCAGCAAGTTAAACTATGGGAGGTCAGAAATGACAAGGTTTTCAGAGGGTATCCAAGGAAGGTTAAAATCAAGGGGAACTGGACTTGGTTGAAGATACCTGAAGACATTTCGCCTCTCATTCAAGGGGCTTCTTCAGTTCTGGTTCAGGGGGTGTTTAGTTACTCTTAACATTTTGATGGCAAATTTGCCCAACTGAGGTAGTGAATTTTTAATCACCCGCTGGCTGTCTACGACCCTGATAGGGAGACAGGGAGACAAAAACCTGTCCACATTACTGGAATGGTGAGAGTTAAACAGAGTGCCTGAATATTTTTGTCTCACCGTTCAGATGAAGCAACAATTTGTGGCAGTTCTTACAAGTTAGTTACCTGAGCTTGATAAATGAGCAAAACACAGTCTACAAAACATGATTTATATGTGGAAATGATTCTTTAAAAGGTCATACAAATAAAACAGTTTATAAAAAGTTTAAAATTGTGAATATCATTACACGGGTCAATGCGTTCAAAAGGGTGCCTTCCTCTTTTTCTTATCATTATACTAATGTACCTTCTGATGATGCAGAAACTAAATTTTTAAGAAGCACCGAAACCAGTGAAGAGCAGATAAAGGAATTAAGAAAAATAATAATTGAGCAATAAAGATATAAACAATAAAAAGTTAGCTTTTTAAGATTATCCACCATAAAAGGTCAATGACGCATATGATTAAAATTGAATATGAACTTACTCTGCCTAAAGAGTCCAGTGAGGAAAATTTTGGTTGGCAATTATTGTGAATGCTGACAAATGACATGCACATAAATGAACTGCTGAGTTGTCTGCAATAAGGCAAGTAACAGAGTCCTGCTGAAAACAATTTGTAAAAAAACAAACACATCCACAAATTTACCTCTATATACATATAAAATAACTGAATTAATATAGGAATCCTATATTGTGAGTTTCATTAGCATGTAATAAAATTGAGCGCTATTTACCAAAGATATAGGCTCTTTTTCACATCTTCTGATGAAAATTTAAAATAGTTAAAACACTTTGGAAGCATCTCAACTTTCTTTCTGTAACTTACAAAACTTCATGCTGAAGTTCGGCACACGCACAAGAGTCAGTAGGGGGTGGATATTGGAGGAGATGAAGTCAGAACAGCGGAGTCCAAACTGAGATGTGTCTTTTGTCGGTGTCCTGGCAGGGACATTCTAAGCTATTAATAAAGAGTTGCTTATATAATTGCCAGGGCCAGACCATCAGTTCTGGTGGGAAGGGCCACAGATGACAGCACTGGGCGAAGTCAGTATCACATCCCTGCCCCATGGCAGTTGATTGACAGCTCAAGGGTGGACAGTGCAGCCTGCTGGCTCTGAAGCCCAGGACTATGTGTGTTCCATCAGCATCATCATCATCTGGAAAATATCAGTTACAGGACGGACCAGAAAATTTTAGTTCCCTTTTTCACACAGCATAAACCATATATAATAGGGGTGTCATGATTTTGATTCTAAATTGAAAAGTGTTCAAAATGAGCTTTCAATTTCAACCTTTGAAATCATAAGCAGGATCGACAATACTCACAGTATCTTTTTAAAAGAAAATTTGAAAACGTAAATGACAGTTGTCAGGACACAAAAACAATCATCAGCTGATCTTTACAAATCAAGCCGTCAGTGCTGAAAAAAAAGTTTAAATTAAAAATCGAATTGTGACCTAAAAATCGAAAGTCAACTAATATCGTGGATCGGGAGAACCGTGACACACCTAATATATAACATAAAACAAATCATATGTATACAGATTACACAGGCTAGATATATTAATAGAGAGACAGAGAGATAGACAGTTAATAGATGTAACCTCGAAGCCTGCCCACTGTGATGACTCAATGCCAAGAATGAGAACAGAAAGTAACCATCACAAAATAAACCAACCACATGTGGTGTGCTATTGACATGAGACAGTCAGCATGCATAAATTTGAAAACTGAAACCTAAATAAATGTACTAGCTTGGTCTTCTGATATAAAAAAAACTTTTCCCCCTTCTCGTTGCAGTAAAGGAAGTCACGAACTTCTTTCGGTTATTTATATATATATATATATATATATATATATATATATATATATATATATATATATCAAATGTGATCTAGGTAGTATCTAACGCTCATAAAGTTTTTTGCATGAGCGCTTTGCCATCACCTAAGAAGCTTTTTCTTTTTAAAGTATTTTTGGGGGCTTTTTTGCCTTATGCCTTATGTCTGGCTAACAGAGAGAGGAAACTTGGGAGAGAGACCGGGGATGACATGCAGCAAAGGGCTGCGTGTTGGATTCGACCCTGGGCTGCTGCAGCAAGGACTCATGCATTTGCACATGAGGCACACGCTAGCGGTGAGGTAACTGGTGCCCCACAAGTAAAGCTTTTAAGCAAAAGACAGTGAAACACAGAACAGATAGCGTTCAGTTTTTCTCTTTAAATTTAAATATTCTGGAAATAAATTAACACTGACAGTGATAAGTGACACCCTGTACCAGCAGGGCGATGAGCAGTTTTGCAGTAACAACCATTCAAGAATAAATTAAAAGGCCAATCAGCCAACATATCGCTGACAACACCACTCGTCACATGATCTCATTAAACTCTTGAACCTGGTAAACTGAATAAAATGAAGCATGACTGCAACTCTGCATGTCATGTGGTTGGAGTGTAGAATATGGGACTCAAGACAAATCCATAAAAACGTCACTTAAGAGTCACTTATTATCATATTAAAAATCATGCTCATTATGTTAAACCATTTATTTTTATCTCGATCAGACTAGAACGGATGAGAAAGTATAGCAATTTCAGTAGATTTGGATTAAATTGACTGCAGCAGGTTCAGATAAGGACACATCCAGAGTCAATTAGTACAAGTGTCCCTATCCAAAAAAAACTGCCTGTGCAACTTGATTATGTGAGTGGGTTGCTCATTATGTTTCTGAGATGCTTGTCTAATTGTTGGGTAAGTAGGTGGAAAATCAGTGATGGAGGGTGAAGGGTCAAAACTACTCACTCTGCAGCTGAAGTGGCTTCTTTGTGGAGTTTGGCTCTGGCTGTGGCTGACAGGTTCAAATCACCTCCTGGAGAAAAGAGGAGAAATGAAGACGTGAGTGAGTCTGATGGCAGGGAGATGGGGTGCGCTGAAGAGTGACAGAGTAAAGTGCAGCTATGTCACATGAGAAAAGGAAGAGGAGTAGGGCTGAACAATTAATGAAAATCTTATCCAAATCGCAATATGGCCTGCTGCAATTTTCAAATTGCAGGAGGTGTAATATTTCTTAAAGGCTAAATGTGTGTCAAAAATACCATTTTAAATTAAATATTATCCAATCACTCCATAACCATTTAAATATACTGAACAAAATTATAAACGCAACACGTTAACTTCTGTTTTTGCCCACATTCATCAAGGGCAGAACTCAAAGATGTAAGACTTTCTCTATGTACACAAAAGACCTATTTCTCTCAAATACTGTTCACAAATCTGTCAAAATTTGTTAGGGAGCACTTCTCCTTTGCCGAGATAATCCATCCACCTCACAGGTGTGGCATATCAAGATGCTGATCAGACAGCATGGGTATTGCACAGGTGTGCCTTAGGCTGGCCACAGTAAAAGGCCACTTGAAAATGTGCAGTTCCATCACACAGCACAATGCCATAGATGGCGCAAGTTTGAGGGAGCAATTGGCATGCTGACTGCAGGAACGTCCACCAGAGCTGTTGCCCGTGAATTGAATGTTCATTTCTCTACCATAAGCCATCTCCTAAGGCGTTTCAGAAAATTTGGCAGTACATCCAACCGGCCTCACAACCGGAGACAACGTGTAACCACACCAGGCCAGGACCTCCACATCCAGCATCTTCATCTCCAAGATTGCTGCAACAATCAGTTTGCATAACCAAATAATTTCTGCACAAACTGTCAGGAACTGTCTCAGGGAAGCTCATCTGCATGCTCGTCGTGCGCATCGGGGTCTCGACCCAACTGCAACTTCACACAGCCATTAAAGAGGAGTGGACAACATTCCACAGGCCACAATCAACAACCTGATCAACTCTGAGTGAGGCAAAAGAGGTGGGGACAATATTGAGGTGGAAAGCAGGGAGGAGTGAGAGAAGTGAAGCAGTGGGAGAGTTCAATGCTCCAGTCTTCACTTACCTCTGAGATAATTCACAAAGTACAGCATCACCACTGCTATCAGTGCAACTGCAAGAAAGAAGGGGAACAATGTGGAAAATGACAAAAGTGTCTGACAGGAGTTTCAAAGACTATAATCTCATAAAGCACACAGACGGAAAATACTGACTGCAGATGCAGGCGCAGAAAAACACTTCCAAAAACAGGTACCCTCTGGTGTCTAGGATGCTTCCTGCTGCCATGGCAATGAGAGCGAGTCCCAGGTTCTGGATCGACTGCATGCTGGTGGACAAAGATCAACATCAGTGTCAATAAAAAGTAACAAAAATAACAATTAACAGGCATAACTGATTCTTTTAAATGTGAATATGTATGAAGACCAGTCATAACACTGCCATAACAGGTACATACAAGCCATAGGCCGTCCCCAGCTGATGCTCAGGTACCACAAAGGCCACCATGGGCCACAGTGCACAAGCCAGTAAGGAGTAGGAAACGCCCATCAGGGACTGGAAAACAAGCGAGAACACATATGCTGTTGTTACTTTAAATATTCCAAGGCTCACTAAAGAATTCCTGGGTATGATTTACTACCTAGCTTGTATATTGTATGATAAAACAATAATTTGAATGAGAATACAGATTTAATGTCCTATTCTGGAAACTGAGGAATGGTAAAGAAACGTGTTTGTTTCATTCTTCAAGCATAACCAGTTGATCAATTACATTTTCAAATCCTACTGCTATCCGGTAGGAGATGAATATAGTAGTTTTTTCATTAAATAAAACTACAATTAAGTGTTTTAATTACTTTATATGCAAATATAAATTTTCCCTAGAAACTAAGGCTGTATACAAACCAATGGGATTGCAAAAGTGCAACGATAACTTTAAAGTCACTAAAGAACTTGTATCTACATTCGCTATGACTCAGTTCTTCCACTTTTCATGGAGTACAAAGCAGGGGCGTGCCAGGGGCATTACCATGGCGATCCATGGGTTCCAGAAGGTGAAGGCCAGCATCATGTGAGCGAGGAGTGTGGCGACCACAGCAATCATTACCCAAACCACATTCCTCCCTGTCTTATCAACCACAAAGCCCAGAACTGGAGATGCAGGGGCTGAGATGATGTAGACAATACTGGGAAAGATAGACAACGGCATGAAGAGATCTGTACTGAACATACATCTTTTAAAAAGAAAAACGTAATGAACGGAACCTATGCAAATCTAAAATCCTATCGTGTAGTTTAAAGGTATAGTTAATGACAGAAATCTGAGTGGAGAAAATCTATCTGTAAAGTCAATCCTTATGGGTGTGTGATACCATGTTGTTTGGTTTTACATTATGTGGGATTTTAAAAGGTCTTTTAGCATGTTCCCTGTTTCAGGGAGCTGAATATCTCTAAGCTCAAACGCTGCTGTTGTCACACTGGAAAAGTAATTTGGCCAGTCATCCAATGGAATAAGAAAGAAATGTACCCAACAAAAGAAATGCAAGATAAATCAGCAACTGCAAACTATAATGGTGTTAGTGCATTGAGGGAGATTGGCCTCAACGGCCTATTACACTTGATCCAAGTTACCTGTTGACAGCTCTGGCTTCAGCTGGAGAGAAGTTGAATTTTTCAATGAAGAACACCCTGTAAAAAAACAAAAAACAAATATAGCCCTTTTATATGTGATCATAAGAAAAGGAGATATCATGTTCACGCCTTCGGCAGGTGGCTCTCATACTTCCATACATTGTTTTCTGCCTCATTTGCATAACAACTATTTGCGCTGTAAGCACCGGCCCTCTGTGGAAAAACCATGTCAGTTGCCAAGTGATTTGAGTGTGTCTTTCAGTGACTGAAAGGCAGGTTGTGATAGCTTCAATTGGTTTCTTTCACTGCAAACCCATTTGTCAAACCTCTTTCCATCTCTGACTCCCTCTTTTGTTCGATGACAACATAGCATTGTGAGGTTGCACTGTTGAATCTTTCTTCAGACACAGGCACTGTACCGATTTAATAGAGCTTCTCTATTTAATTCATACCACACAATTTAGCCACAATACCATCTTGTTTGTGAAGTGAATTCTATTTACCAAGATACTTTCATCAAGTACCCAAACAAATATGCTGCACCATAATTTCAGCATGTGAAGCCCCTACTGTTTTTCCAGAATTTGTATGTGGTTAAGGCATCTGTCAATTTTCTCTGTTGATGGTTGGTAGACAAATCAGAAACTTTGGTGGTAAGTGGCAGAAATTGGGGAAGAAAATGTCAGAAATGTTAAAATCTTACACATTAAAAAGAATAGTGACGTGATTTTTTTTTTATTATTGTCAACAAATCAACAATTAATTGATCCTACTAACAAGTAGCCTTTTGTCTGTGTGTCCAAAGCCTGATATATCTTGTACCCTGTACAAGACCTCTATTGTACAAAAAATACATAAACTCATTAATGAGGCACACTGTTGCACTGGGTGACAGGTTCCTTCATAACAATAAACATGGGCACTGTTGCTGTTGTTGTTTTCTGAATACCACATACACAGTCCTGCTGCCATACAAAGAATACTCACAAAAGCACCACATGTGTAGTAATTCGCATTTGACAACAGTCTACACAATCTTCTTCTGTTTGAGCTGTGTTTTCTATAAACTACAAAACCCAGCTGAAATGATATATACAGACAGGGTACAGAAGTCAAAAAGCATTTGTGGTTATGGTGTTATTGTGGGATTTGCTGACATTACAAAAATACACTCACTTTATTAGGTACACCTTGCTAGTACCAGGTTAGCCTTCAGAACTGCCTTAATTCTTTGTGGCATACTTTCAACAAAGTGTTGGAAACATTCCTCAGAGACTTTGGTCCATATTGACAGGATAGCATCACACAGTTGCTGCAGATTTGTTGGCTGTACATCCATGATGCGAATCTCTCGTTCCACCACATCCCAGTGGTTCTCTATTAGACTGAGATCTGGTGAGTGTGGTGGCCAGTGGAGTACAGTGAACACATTGTCATGTCTGAGATGATTTGAGCTTTGTGACATAGTGCATTATCCTGCTGGAAGTAGTCATCAGAAGATGGGTACATTGTGGCCATAAAGGGATGAACATGGTCAGCAACAATACTCAGGGAGGCTGTTGCATTTAAACGATTGTCATTTGGTTCTAAGGGGCCCAAAGTGTGCCAAGAAAATATCCCCCACACAATTACACCACCACCACCAGCCTGAACCGTTGATACAAGGCAGGATGGATCCAAGATTTCATGTTGTTTACACCAAATTCTGACCCACCCATCTGAATGTCGCAGCTGAAATCGGGACCAGACAAAGTTTCTCCAATCTTCTATTGTCTAATTTTGGCGAGCCTGTGCGAATTGTAGCCTCAGTTTCCTGTTCTTAGCTGACAGGACAGGTACCCGGAATGGTCTTATGCTGGTGTAGCCCATCTGCTTCAAGGCTCGATGTGTTGTGTGTTCAGAGATGGTATTCTGCATACCTTGGTTGTGATGAGTGGTTATTTGAGTTACTGTTGCCTTTCTGTCATCTTGTCTACCCATTGTCGTCTGACCTCAGACATCAACAAGGCATTTTTGTCCACCCAACTGCCACTCACTGGATATTTTCTCTTTTTCGGACCATGCCAAGTTCAAAGTCACTTAAATTACCTTTCTTCCCCATTCTGATTCTCAGTTGGAACTTCAGCAAGTTGTCTTGACCACGTCTACTTGCCTAAATGTATTGAGTTGCTGCCATGTGATTGGCTGATTAGCTACTTGTGTAAACAAGCAACTGAACAATGACAACAACTGTAACTATTGAAGTGGCCAGTGAGTGTATTTTATTATATTATATACTTGCTGGCCACCTTATTAGGCACACCTGGACAATCTAATGCAGTCCAATACAACTGTTCTGCCAGTCTACTACCAAGTCTACTTTTATGATTTCTATAACGTTCACTATTTGTTGACACTGACATAGAGGAGTTTATTCAGTACTGTATGTGTTAGCGTTAATGTCATAGTGTCAGTGGTGGTGTTGTACTGTAATGCATCGTGTATGTAAAAAGGGATGGCAAAACATTTTTAAGAGTTCATATGCTCATTTTCAGGTTTAAAATCTTATTTAGGGGTTGTACCAGAATAGGTTTACATGGTTTCATTTTCAAAAAACACCATATATTTTGTCACATAATTTTAGCTATGGAGTGATACATCTCACCTCTACAAGATCTTTGTTGGGAGTTGTACATGCGCAGTTCCTAATTAAGGACTACTAGCCAATCAGAAGAGTAGGGCGGGTAGTGAGAAGCCGGTAAACACAGCTTTGGTTCCAGCTGTATATCCCCTTACCATCTTAGCAACATAGACTGGAGCAAGAGTTTCAGAGGGGTGAGTTATTAATTTGTAACAAATGTATCTTTCATCCATAAAGTTTTAACTGAGCTCTGTCTCTACATCACAGTAACAACTTTATGTCCATTGACTGCCTGGAGGGTAGCTAGTGTTTGGAAGGGAGAGGAGAGGCAGCAGGCGGATGTCTTGGTTTTTCCACCGGTGTTTTTGAGGGCGTTGGATAAGCCGCTTGGTGAGCGTTATGACGCGCATTTGGCCATGTTGTCACACGGATCAAAGGGAAAAGGCTGGACTACAAACTAACTATTTTCAGGAAGTTCAGAGCAGTGTTTTCTGTGGGAGATGGGAACTCCTTTTGGGGTGGACTGTGGGCTTTTTCAATTTGCAAACCTATTACATGCACAAAAAAGGTATATAACTCAACGAAGGAGGGAAAAAACCAAAAAGCATAATATGAACTCTTTAAACATCTCTCAAATTAATGTAGTCCAGTACAACACCACTTTTAAATAGGACTTCAATAATATGTCACCAAAAAATTTAACTGAGCTTTGTAGATATTGTGGCAGGACTGTTGTATTGGATTGCCTTAGTTTGTACAGGTGTATCTACACTGGTTTCTTGAACATGACAATGAGTTCCAATGGCACCCACAGTAACCAGATCTCAATCCAATAGAGCCCCTTTGGGATATGGTGGAACTGGAGATACACATCATGGCTGTGCAGCCGACAAATCTGCAGCAACTGCGTGATGCTATCATGTCAGTATGGACCAAAGTCTCAGAGGAATGTTTCCAGCACCTTGTTGAAAGTATGCCACGAGGAAATAAGGCAATTCTGAAGGCAAAGGGGGGTCCAACCCGGTAGCAAGGTGTGCCTAATAAAGTGGCCGGTGAGTTTAAATACAAGATAATATAATAAATAACTTTTTAAAAAAGATACTTTTTAATAGGAAACATGTATCGCCATATAACCCTTGCATAGCCTTGATCTAAAAACCACTGGCCAATTCTAAGCATCAAAGTGCATTTAGAATAAGTAAAACATAGAAATTAATACCACTAGGCACTGATATGTGAGATGGCATTGATGTAATACTCACTGTCCCAGTCCAATGAAGGGGAAAATGGCGACATAGTAGCCCACACAAATGATGAAGATGAGCCAGAGGGGGAAGGAGAAGTCTTTCACGTCTGTCAGCTTGATCACCTCACCTAATATGCAATATAAACATACACATGCAGCTCAGATTCAGAGCATTTTTTTCCTTTAATAAAAAAAAACAAAACAAACACCTGATCTTAGAATCAATACCTGTTTTGCCTTCTTCTTTGTGGAGGATCTTTTCTGCTCTTTTGTCAAGGAATGCCAACACCAAGGCACAGATTAGTGAAAACAGGCAGGTTACAGAAGCTGAGGAGCGAAAAAAGGAAGTATGTAAGAAAGTAAGGAAATGTAAGTTACAGTAAAACTTTGGTGATAAGATTATCAAGGAGTTCAAATTTGGATGCATGGCGACTGCTGACTGATTCTATTGTTAACATGAATTTATCTCAAGTGGTCACACATTAAGTTTAGATAAAGTTCTGTCACACTGGCAGAAGAAATGAGCTATAAAAGAAAACATACAACTGCAAGGTGTGAAAAAGCAGGAGCAATTTTAGCATAACTAAGAAGTGGAGAAAATAAGAACTGACACTTCATCTAACTCATGTGACTCATGTGTAGCAGCCAGCAGCACTTTTAGTTCTCTATATCACTTCTCTCTATCACACAGTCACTCTGCTGGCTGTTATGTGAGATCATTAATTGCAGAGAAATGATCTAGTATCTCCAGCGGAGACAGAGATACAGCACATGTAACCTGAGTCTTAATATTTAACACTTGCCAATTTCAAGTCTGCTTGAGTGAAGCACATGCCCTCAGCTAAAGCAAAAAGCGTATAATATTCACCTATCATGAGTGATGCGCCTAGTGTGGTGTGTCCTGGAGAGCCAACCAGGGCTGCGACTTTGTTGTACACCCAGCCCATGATGTTCATGTTCACTGTGCTGCCCTTGAGACATGTGGAGAGCAGGGTGAATTGACTTGAGGCATATCAATAACTGCATCAATGACATGTATTCTGTGTAGTAGGCCCATTCATCATGGTTACAGTTAAGAAAAGCATTAACATGTAATTTAAAAGGCCTCATGTTCTGTTAGAAATCTCCTTACCAGTCGAGCCATGCTCAGCTGAAGGCCAAACACCAGATTGAGCTCCTTTCCTTTGAACCAGTTGACTGCATAGGTGTTCTGGGCCACAGCCAAGGACTCCCCTCCAATACTACCCAGAAAAAGAAAACATCTGATAGTATAAGATCCACCTGAGCAGCAGATGGTCCGTGACAAAATTTGGGACAGATTAGGCTGAGTATTGGACATTTGATGCGGGTTCCGATATTCTAGGTTGAATTTTGACTATCCTGTTGAAAGATACCCAATGTGTGGTGATATCATACATATGGTGTGTAAATTTGATTGATTATGTTGGTAAAATGTATAAGTTTTAACACAATGGAGAAATTATTCTCTCACCCAAATATAAAACGTCCAACTTCCATCAGCCAGAAATGATTGACCAAAGCTCCAGTAGCAAATATTACCTGTGCCGAGCAGAAAAGATCAAATACAACCATTTAATCAATATTCATTTTCTGTGCCTATTGATTGAAAAACAAGTAGCAATTATATTCTCTGACACAGAATACCTTTCACATCTAGATTTCAAAGTAAACCCACCTGTCCAACACAAACAAAGAGGGAAAAGATGATGGTTCCCAGCCTATAAAAAACAATATGAAAGATAAAACTGCCCAAGATGACAAGCACAAAAACTATGCAACTCTTTCACTTTTGCTTATGGCGAATATAAATAATAAACACATACTGAACTCAAAATAGATGGTTACTTTGTTAATATTTGTACCTGATGCCAAAAACCCTGTCAAGCAGAAATCCCCCAAAGAAGCAGAGAACCACATTGGGCCAAGAGTACCAGGCATACAGCTGCATGAACTTTGCAGTGTTCAGGTTCAGATCCTGGTACAGTCAGGGAGGAAGGACATCAGATTCTTGTCAGTCACTTCAACTGTTTTGGTTTAAATTTTCATTGTTGAAAAATCTAGGTGTGAAACACAGGATATTTTGTGTGGACTTGAAATTATATCCTTTAATGGCAGCACTTAGGCTCATTTGACTGTTCTGGTTGGATTATTATGCAGATTTCACTCTACGCATAGATGCTTCCCTAAATGCAAAAGTCTAACTTCTGTGTAAAATAATGGGGGGCTGTGTTTAAGCCTGGGGTGGTATAACGTTATTATTCTGGTGTACAACTTTGCATTTAAAGATGATGGATTACCTGGATGACTTGAGTTTGAAGTGCAGCTGGGTTGTCATAACAGAAGTAGCTTCCTGGAACAAATTAACTAACGTTACATTAACTGACCACATATATTTCTTTTAAGTTACACGAGCCACGATGGGCAACAACTCTTCTCTTTGTCCATGCCAGCAACACGACAAACTTTCTTTTAACCAAATGTAACTTATCGTAGTCCACACATTTGCGCAATAACCATTCAGGATGCTGAGGGGAAGTAGGAAGTTAGGGATTTTTGCTGCTCACCGAATCCCAAGAAGCACATGAATGTCAGGACAACCACTCGGTGCAGCAGGTGGCTGGGGTCGCAGATGGCCGGCATCGGTCTGCCGGGTCCTCTGTCTGTCTGTCTGCCGGTGGACGAGCCCTCGTCCTCATCTCCCAACAGACTCCGCCGCTCTTCGTAGTCCGCCATGTTCGTTTGTTTGGAATTTGCTGGGGGAAAAGTCGACGGCAGCGAGGAGCAGCGTAGACCGATCACATGACCCGGCCCTGGGCAGGTCACGTGGCGTTAGCCTTGAGAGAGCAGCACATCCGGGTACTGGGTGGAAGCAGCCCCTCTAATTTGTCAGGTGGTGAAAGCAAATTCCGAGTTCTTTGCCAGGTCAGTAGTATGCAATAAGAAAACCGTATTACCTTTTAGCTATTAGGAGCCCAAATCCTATGGCCAGTTAGGCAGGTTTGTCATGGTTTATCGACGTCGCTATATAGAAAAATAGTAAAGTAATGCGTAATGCGTCCTTTCAATCTGCCTCTAATGTGGATGAAACTGGCATACCGTGTAACGTTATACAACTACTTTTGTTGAATCTCCAAGTAATGTTTTTCTGACACTTGTCACTTATCTGTCGTTAAGACACTTTATTTTGCTGTCTTTGTAGCCTTTTCACTGTGACGTTAACTTACTGTAAACTAATTACATTGCTGTGGTAACGAAGTGGAACTATTAGATATTTCATAGCTGTTTATGGTTATTAAACGACTTTTTACCACGAGCAGAGAAGTAGAAAACGGGTCGGTTTTTGCCCATTTCCCACTCAACATTAATGGTGTTTACATGGTTCATTAGTAAAAAGGTAGATCAGCTCAATTTATATGAATTATTATTAAAATTAAAATACTCTGGTGGTATTAAGAGTGGAATGACTGTTAAACCAAACAAATGCTATAAGCAGGTGTTATATGTTAGGGCTGCCTTTTTTGACAGTAAAAACTTACACATAACTTGCTTTGATCTACAGGCACAATCGCACACAAATAATTTACCAGCAGGGCTCTCCGCTAACCTTTTTCCCAAGGAGCACATGTGCAGGAGCACACAAAGAAATTTAGGAGCACAGTGAAAAATGTTCAAGTAACACAGAGTTTAACAAACTATTTATTATATACATATTTATACTACCTGTGTGTGTTCCTTCTCTTTGTGTTCAACTATGGTGTGAAACCATTAGAGGACTATGAAGACCTTTGTATCTGGACACTCAGCATCTGCCTTAATAATTTGTCAAAGCATTTCAAAATATTGAAACAGATATTTTGAAAACAGCTTTTAAAACACTGATCATTCATCACAAAAATCTTTACTATGATTGGTGCTTGTGTAGTTTTTGAACCAGGGACGGATTCACGATACACCAGCAGCACCCACACAACCCACACCAAATGTAAATAAGACTACTGACCAGTATTACAATCACTTTAGTAAAACAGATGTAAAACAGAACAAGGGGAGCTAGGAGCACATACTGGCATCAAGAGCCTCTGCAGTGGAAAGATGCAGATTTCCACTGTAGAGGCTCTTTCACACAACATGGAGGAGAAACTAGTTTAAATGAGTGTAATTAGTATTTATATAATAGTATTAGATAAAACTATTGGTTAGCCAAAGCTATCGTGTCATGTAATCTAAAATCACACAAGTTCTCAATTGGCCGACAGGAGGCACCTGTGTAAAGACCACCCAATTGTCAGTGACATAGAGTTTTGTCAAACACCCCTGATATTTTTTGGCCTATTGTGCTTATAAAATGTTTGTCCATCAAAAAATAATCTAACTTTGCATGTTCAGGTTTTGAAAAGTGGGAAAGTATGATTTACCTAATGTGGGACAGTACAAAAAAGTGTAGAGGGGCATGGTTTGTGGGACAAAAATGTTTTTTACAGGGTTTTAGTGGTCTTATGCACTATTAGAATGCTGTACTACGTGTTTATGGTCATGGGAAATTGTTATTGTTATTGGGGATGGTGGTCTGAAGGCTTTTGGTGGGGTGTGTGTGAAGGGAGTAGATCTCTTTAAATGAAAAAAACAGCTCTTAATTTAAAAAAACAATAAAACCGATACACTTAATTTTATGCATCTAATGATTAATTCATTTAAATGTATTTCAAATCACAATGGCAAAGCAGAAAAAGACAGGGAGAGATTTTCAGATGCAGAGCAAGATGCAGAAAAAAGGACGAGTGAAAAGGCAGGATTAAAGGCATTGTTTGTGTTGTGAAGTAAAATAAACTAGAGTCAGGAATTCTGATTGTGCATTTAACTCTTTTCTATCTGCACAACATAACACAGGCCTGTGTCAACAGTTGCTTAATGTCTTTGTCATAATTGCATCAAAACTATCATATGATATATACATATTATTAGTTGATGTTCAGTTATTAATGTTTCATTCATCCATAACCAAGCGAGTTACTAACTTATTTAATATTCTACATGAGTAAAGGTTATTTTTTACAATCTACTTTCAGTGTCCCACATTAGGGACACACCTGTCCCACATTACCAAGTCACTGATGGTCTCAAAGAATTTGCACTAAGAGCACCAATATGTCTGTCATTTCCTTTAGGAATGTGTTATCTGTATTTTCTCTTTTGATTTGATTAGGACACATCCTGAGGTTTTTAAAATGGTATTGGGTGTTGATTTAGTACATTGGGTTCACATCACAATATGCCACAGAAGTCTGAAAAACAATAAATGTCCCACATTAGGGCAATTCACTGTATTTATTCCAGTTGGACAAAACAGCAGTTTCATGTTTTCATTCATTAAATCCTTGTGCAAGAAAAATGGCCTAAATTTGTCTCTTAATTTGTTAAAGCTACTATCTCATCAATAATCAGAACCATTCATGCAGGAAAGTTTACTGTAGCACGTTAATGTCCCGCCCCATCCAGGCTGTGATTGGTCAGTAAAATTGATGAGCACATCGATTTTATGAAAAGTGGAACACGTTTCAACAAAAGGCACCTGGTATAGCTCAATATCCAGCTCGCCAAACCCACAAACCTCTTTATCTTCTCCCTTCTGTCTTCTGTCTCACCGCTCCAGTTGATGACGCTGCATCTGTCTTTGTTTTTATAACGAGTAGCTCAAGCGGCCACGGAGCGACCCGCCCACTGGTAACTCACCCGGTGCTCCGATGACTAGCTGGCTTTATTCCTGCCAGAGTTTCAATAACTCTCATACACCAGTTTTGCGTCGCATCCTGCAAGCTACTCGGGGCGTTTATTTATTTATTTTTTTTAACTATTAGCACTGCGTCGGAGGCGAGGGGATTATGGTAGATTGTAGTTACCCACACATTGTGCTCGTACATCATTTTCCCGGTTCGCACGTATTGATTTTTAGGGGCATATGCGAGCAAAATGGTCGCACTGTAGAGCCCTGACCAGGTAACGTTAACATCATTAACTAATCTGTGATGAAGGAGCCTTCACTGATGGGTCCATTTACCATTTTCATCCTCTAGTAATGGCCTGAAGCCACCTCTTATTTCACTGTCCAAAATGCGACTCATCAGCTTTTAGACATGGTGACTGTAGTTTTTGGCCGTGCCATTTTTACAGCGCTTGTTTGTTTTTGGTTTTGGTTTTCTACTACAAAGTGGACGTGGTTCTGACTATAGCAAAGTGACGTGCGCTTGTTTATGTCGGCGCGTGCCTGCCGAGAAGTTCAAGCACCACACGGAAAAGGCGCACAGCGAAAGCCTCAAGTTTATTGATTTCTGAGTAGACTGATGGTTAAAAACAGAGATGGCACTGTTTAACAGGAAAACGGTTTTAAAAATGACTCATCTGATAAGAGATTATATCTCGTAATTATAAGGAAATACAAGATAAAAATACTTTAATCTCCTGGGGAAAGGAACCAGCAATTTAATAGTTTGTGTTGACTTTTGTAGACTTAATGACAGATTTTACACATCAAACTCCCTACTTAAGGAATATATATATAAAAAAGTTGTTGGTATAAAACCTTTTGTGTAGTGCAGCCAGTGTCAGGGAAACAGCCATAATGTTAAGCATTAGAGTACTCAAACCGTTACTGTTAAAATGTTAACATATTTTCCTGTTCCATTTGTTGCTACAAAAAAAGAAAATCCCTAACACATTTACACTATTTCTTTCCTACTTCCTAAAGGGTAGCTGCATTCAAATGGGAGGGATCAAGTCCTGCAGTTGTGTTAGTGCTCATGTCAACTCGTGAGATGGCAGAGATGACAGCCTTTAGGTCATGGAAATAAGTATCTAAGCATTGACCTAGTTAACTGGTTTCCTGATGTTCTGTAAACTATACTAGCCAGTGGTTTTTTTTCTTCATAGAGGCAGCTGTGCTAATATGCCTTTACCCAGTTCACTGTCAAATTGTTTGTAACCAAAAGGCTGCACAGGTGCCAGTGGTCAGGTACACTATTTACCTTCATGCACTTTAAATAATTTAACGTCTCTTTTTTTTGCAGTTGAATTGCAAAAAAAATTACATGTTGTTCTCAGTAAGTAATGCTGTAGCGTACAGGTTTTCACCTTTTAGTTTACTACATTATTTTCAAGCTGAAAGCTTTCTTTTGTATTATGGTATGGCTCAGTCTTACTGCATTTCTCTGTTCAAGCGGGAACAAGTAGACATTTTCAGCTATCTCTGAATGCACTATTTGGCTTTTCTCTCTACTTTGACTTTATGAATGTCAAAGTTAAGTCTACTTTGTTTTTGCATGTTGTTCTTTTTGTACCTGTTATGATCTATAATGTAAATCCTCCATTTCAAATAAAGTGTTTGTTTGAGAAAAGTGAGGTACGCCTGTTCCGTTTCTTGCTTGTTTTTCGGTTACTGGAAGTTTGAACAACGGCTGACTTTTTTGACCTAAAGCTTAAATCTAAGCTCTAATAAGCTGCCTATAAGCCATTTCCCTGGGGCGTCTTGGCATGAAATTGTTTTTAAACCTCTGCTGATTGGCATCACTGACTTGACAGTTTTCCCTGACATGCAAGCGGTACCACCTTGTTTCATTAGGTCATCCAGTTATATGAAACTGTCAGCACCCACCTGTACCTGCCTCCAATTTATCTGGCTCTTTTCTATCCCCAACTTGTGTCTGTGCATACTGCTTGGCTACACTATCTCCAGGGTTTATTTAATTTTCATGAATGTCCTATAGAATTTCTCATAATTCACTACTGTGGGGTCATCTGTCAGAGGATTTAATCTGAGGGTGACGAACGGTCCTTCCCCTGGCTGCAGTCACCGCTCCGACCGCTCTGTAGCTCATTAATTTCCTGCCCAAATATCAGCTTCTGTCGTAGCCAACAGTGGGATGGAGGATGATCATATTTCATTATTACATTAATCAGACCCACATGCAGACATGATTGTAAATCAGGCCGGAGGTGACATTAATCCTGCAGAACCAGTTTGTGAATATCCTGAAACCCGGCTTCGAATTGTTGCGGTGGTGGAAAAAGTCAATATATTCTAGTTAATTTTTTTTCTACTCTTGTTCAATTCAAAAATTAATTACTTAGTGACACTACTGCAATATTGTGAAACACTTTATGCCCTATTTGCAAATGCTTGCAGCTTTGCAGAGCAATATGAGTCTGCAGCTCCCATTGGTCAATTGCTCAATTGTCAGGTGTCTCAGATACTGATCACCACTAGTAGTAAATAAAAAGATAAGTAAATATAATTATCTCTAGTCAGTGCTTACCATAAGGGATGCCGCTAGAAAAACCCATGATGGTATATTTCATATTTTAGCTTGAGCATGTTATTAACTGCAGTATGAATCATTTGATCTGTGTCAGAACTAGTGTGGTGGAGGAACTGGGTTTACTGGAACTGGTATTGTCCTCAATTTTTATTGGCTACCGTTGTTGCACAGCAGCGTGCTGTGTATGTGAATGCATAATGTAATCTATCTTTTTCTTAGATTTAATGACAAATTCCATTTCAACACGTTTTAGACTCATGTCCTTCCCCCTTAACTAAGTTGACCCAATAAAAATGTTCATGTTCATATTAATATTTCCAGCATAAAAGTTGAACACCATGCAATTGTATTGTGAAAAATCTAAATTTTATTATTATTGCTATTTATATTGCACATACGGTGTGTGTGTGTGTGTGTGTGTGTGTGTGTGTGTGTGTGTGTGTGTGTGTGTGTGTACGTGGTGTAATAATTGGAGAATATGTGCTGTCAAGATGTTTAGCCAAAGTTTTGTGAAGGGAAAGTGCAGTGTGAACGAGATTAGAAAGAAGGAAGTAGAAAATGACAGTAAGCACAATTAAGGAAATGTGTTGGATGACTTAGCAGACACAGGGCGGTTAAAAATGTTAAAAAACTTCATGGCCACCTCCAGACACTTTTTCTGTTTCAGAACATTGTCCATTAAAATATTTTGCATTACATTCATTTTACAGAGTCATCAAGATAAAATGGTATTTAAAAGTAAAACAACACGTTCTTTTAGGCCATGTCTCATCCCACCTTGAGAGTTAAAGTTATTCATGTGTGCACATGTACATTGTCCTGTGTGTTACTGTGGCATCCCATTATATGACTAGTCTGTTACTTTGGGTGATCTGTGTCATCTCCAGCTGAGTTGATGTTGCTGTGGGAGACTCCATGGCACCCTTGTGGAAATGCTTACAGCAGAGTGTGGCTGTAAGTCTTTTCCTGAACACCTTACACAGAAACACATAGATAAGCGGGTCCAGACACACATTAGTGGCTGACAGCCACAGGGTGGTTTCCTTGGCAATGTAGAGTGCGTTCTGTGCCTGGCAGTGACTCATCATGCTACGTGTTTGGGTTAGGGTGTAGGGAACGCGAGCAAAGTGAAAGGGGGCAAAGCAGATGAAAAACACCCCCACCACTACAAACACTTTTGCCTTGGTTCTGCGACTCGCTGCTTTAGAGCCGCTCTTTGAGGCTTTGTATGACTCATAAACCTTCTTGCTGATGAATGTGTAGCAAACCACCATCAAGGCCAGTGTGCCCCAGAAAACCACCTGAAGGGACACATAAGCATAGCATTGAGCAAGGAAGTGGCTTCTGGCTACATTTCTCACAACAATGGTCAGTTGTTGTCGCTTTCTTGCAGAGAGTTAGATGAGAAGATTGAGACCACTCTCATGTCAGTACAGTAAATATGAAGCTACTGCTAGCTTACGGTTAGAGTGGAAACAGCGGGTAAATGGTTAGCCTGTCTCCGTCCAATAACAAAATCCAGATGGCAGCACCTCTTAAGCTCACTAAATAAAATGTTATGCTGTATCTCGTTTAATCCGTACAAAACTCAAGTTGTGGTTTTGTTACTGTTCCTGGCCAGGAAATAGTCTGACACATAATCCCTGACACAAAAGCATGTTGTGTGTTTTTTAGCTTTTTAGTTTTTATATGTAAACAAACCTGATGTAATGTGTTGATTGACTGTACAGTCGCGAGAGTGGTATTGATCTGCCCTTCAAACTCTCAGCACAAAAGCGAATAAGCGTATTTCCCAAAATGTCAAACTGTGGCTTTTTTAATAGCTACCTGACAGAAGTAGTTGAATCCTTCATGCCAGAGCAGGCCGGCTTTGCTCTTCATGGAGGAGCACTTCAGTTTGCCTCCATAGACCCGTGGTGGCTGGTCACTTAGAATAACGTTGGGTAATGCTAAAGATAACATTACCACCCAGACAGCAGCACTCAGCACCTGACCAACACGAACCCGCTGCAGGGGACACTTCCCAAATGGCCTGACTATCTTTAGGTAGCGATCCAGGCTGATGAGGCCCAGCAAGAGGATGCTGATGTACATGGTGATGTAGAAGAGAACCGCAGAGTATCGGCAGTGAAAGGCACGTAGTTGCCAGGAACCCACACCTGCGTCACTTAAAACTCTCAGAGGGATGGTCAGGGTCATCAGCAAGTCTGCCACCACCTGTTAATGAAGTATTTATTTTTTTGTTGTTGTTCTGACACCAAAATGTACACAGCAAACGCCACTCATGTCTTACCACATTTTTTAGAAAAACCACAAATGTTGAGGTGCTGGGGATGCTGAAGAAGATCCATGCAGCCAGGGAATTCATTATCAGGGCAACTATGAAGAGGAGGCTGTATAGACAGGGGAAAACCACAGCTGTCACACTGGTGTCCCGAACACACTTGATGGAAGTGTTTGACAGGGTGTTGTTCATCTTCTTATCTTTGGTGGACCTTCGGAAAGGGGTGAGAGAGGAGAGATGATAAAATAAGACTAAGACTGATTCATAATGCAGATAAAGGCCAATATACACAGTGAAGTTATAAAGAAATGTTGAAACATGCAAAGAATTTATCTACTGTTTGCAGAGTCTTCTGGAAATCTCCCAAAATAACTGTAGCAGGCTTACTCTGTATGATTCTTGTTATTTTTAACTACTCCTTTCATAACTAGTTTTAAGACTTATGTCTAAATATTACAGTTTCTTTCTGTCTGAATTAAACAACTACCAGCCACTTTCAGGAGCATAAAATTTTACCACATTTAAGGGGTCACTCAGTTATGCCAATTTAGTTCAGAATACCGAGATGCACTTAATATACAGTGATGAAGGCGTGTAACCACGGGTGTAGAATTGGTTAGGGATGGGACATGTACCTACCCAAATCCAGCAACTACTGAATTGTCCTAAGCAATAATAATTTATACATATATATATAACCACTGTATACAACTCAAAAAAATGGTACACAAACGGTTAACAGTCAAATTAGGGAGAATAGCAAAAACCGAAAGTTGCAAATTGTAGTATTAGGGCCATTGTTGGAAAAGTATAATAGTAATCTAAGATTTTAAGAATTTAGTCAGAATATGAGATTAAAAGGTGTATAAAGTCATAATAGAACAGGTTGCTACGAGTCATATGTGATTTAGTATTTCCTGGCAGTCTACAGTTAGTTAGACTTGAGTATATAGTTTGGACTGTACTGTGACGTCTTTACTCTGACCGGAAGCTCTGTGTTGCTGTCCCTGCATCACTCTCACTTAGAGACACCTTTGCTCTGTTCTGTGTTCTTCCCACTGAAACGTCTGTTAGCTGCAATTTATCAGATGGCAAAGTTAACATTTATGTGGATTTGGGTTGAGATTTATGCGTTTTTCAGTTAGTTTCAGTTTTCCACCTCCGATGAAGAGCAGGACACACTTCTCATTCAGTACAGTGCCTAAATATTATAACTTTATTCTTGAGATGTCAGAGAATGCAGATGTGAGATAGATGTCAGGATTCAATGGCTGAAAAACAAGATTTGGGCCCAACGCAAGACATAAAACTCGGTTGGATCAGTTCTCTTAATAAACAAACACAAAATGGACAGCTTACTGTTGTCCAAATGCAAAAGGGAAGCAGTCCAGTAAAACAAGGCAGTCCAAAAAGTAGGGCTGCAACTAATGATTATTTTCGTAGTTAACAAATGTGTTAATTATTTATTTGATTAGTCGACTAGTCACGATTATTTTTGTCTCACCCTAACCCTTATTGAACCATTTAACTAATTAAATATCTTTCAAGTGAATTACTGATCTCCAACACACAGCCTATCTAGCTAACATTATCATTAAGTGAATGAGGTTTACTATTCAGAATGAACACTAGTATCTACGCCAGGGGGAAACCAGGGAAGAAGACAAGACAGTGTAGGCTACTTCTATAATTCACTGGTTTAAACTAACTTTAAAACTTTTAACTGTTTAACAAATATTTTTGCTATGGAACTATATAAAATAAAAGCAAATTAAAAGCAAGAACTATAACCACAACTTTACA